GGGATGACATTTGAGGAGGCAGATGAGAGATGTGGAGAGAGATGAAATGGATGGGAAAAGAGAGAGAGAAAGAGAGAGAGAGAGAGAGAGAGAGAGAGAGAGAGAGAGAGAGAGAGAGAGAGAGAGAGAGAGAGAAAGACGTGTGATATAGCTTTGTCCGATTTCGAGATCTTTCTACCCTGTCAGCACAGCCTCTGAAAAAAAAGGTAAGCTTCTTTGTTGAGTGGATGTTCAACCAGGCTGTTGTAGTTGGCGGCCCGCTGGCCCACACAGCCATCACAGCTTCGCTGATCTGGCACTTGTCGAAGGTAGTGGACCAGTTGCCTCTCTAAAACTTTTACACTTGTTCCAGCACTATTTCTGATATCTACTGGTAGTAGACTGAAGAGTTTTGGACCACGCATGTTGGCACAGTGTTCTTTTACTGTGCCCACGACGCCTCTGTTTTTTACAGTTTCTGTTTTACACTTTTATGTCTTTCATTATATATATAAAATTTTCTCTTATACATTTAAAGATATATTTTTTCATTTATGTTAATATAAAAATTAATGATTTTGTACAAAAAGAACCTTAGGAAACTTACCTAACCTTATTATAACAAGAGCAATTTAATTTAGCCTAATCCAACTAAATATACTTCATATAAGTTTACAATAATTTAATAATAAACAAACACAGTGAAGTGTTTTTTTTCTTTAGATTCAGAATGTGTTTTGCGAAATTATTACATAAACAAATTTTCGCTTGCCTTATTCGGCAAGAAGTGCATTGCTATTTAAGCCAAAATCGCAAGTTATATATATATATATATATATATATATTATATATATATATATATATATATATATATATATATATATATATATATATCTGTCTCTTCTTAGCTCCAGAGAGTACATTCTGAGTACTCTAAGACTGTGTCCTGGAGGTTACCTGGAGGTTATTCCGGGGATCAACGCCCCCGCGGCCCGGTCCATGACCAGGCCTCCCGATGGATCAGGGCCTGATCAACTAGGCTGTTACTGCTGGCCGCACGCAGTCAAACGTACGAGCCACAGCCCGGCTGATCCGGCACCGACTTTAGGTATCTGTCCAGCTCTCTCTTGAAGGCAGCCAGGGGTTTATTGGCAATTCCCCTAATGCTTGATGGGAGGCTGTTGAACAGTTTTGGGCCCCGGACACTTATGGTGTTTTCTCTTAGTGTACCAATGGCGCCCCTACTTTTTATTGGCGGCATTTTGCATCGCCTGCCCAGTCTTTTACTTTCGTAGGGAGTGATTTCTGTGTGCAGATTTGGGACCATTCCTTCCAAGATTTTCCAAGTGTAGATTATGATATATCTCTCCCTCCTGCGTTTCAACGAGTACAAGTCAAGTGCTTCCAAGCGTTCCCAGTAGTTAAGGTGCTTGACAGAACTTATACGTGCAGTAAAGGATCTCTGTACACTCTCTAGATCTGCGATTTCACCTGCTTTGAATGGAGATGTTAATGTACAGCAGTATTCCAGCCTAGAGAGAACAAGTGATTTGAAAAGGATCATCATGGGCTTGGCATCTCTCGTTTTGAAAGTTCTCATTATCCATCCTATCATTTTCTTTGCACGTGCGATCGTGGCACTGTTGTGATCCTTGAAAGTAAGATCCTCAGACATTACTACTCCCAGGTCCCTTACATTATTTTTCCGCTCTATTGTATGGCCGGAGTCAGTAGTATACTCTGTTCTAGTTATTATCTCCTCCAGTTTTCCATAACGGAGTAGTTGGAATTTGTCCTCATTGAACATCATATTGTTTACCGTTGCCCACTGGAAAACTTTGTTTATATCTTCTTGGAGGTTAACCGCGTCCTCAGCAGATGACAGCCTCATGCAGATCCTAGTATCATCCGGCCAGCAATATGAACCTAGGTGATCAGGTCATCAACCAGGAGGCCTGATCTGGGACCGGGCAGCAGGGGCGGTGACCCCTGCAGCCAAGTGCAACTAACTGCCTGCAAAGTGCTGGAGGTAAATTACGCACGTAACTTCAGTAAGTGTTTTGAAGTGTAGATGAGAAATCACGAACCCCAGGCGACCAAGACAACACTCACTCACCCCTCGCAACAAATAACACCTGAAAACAACACAACAACGAACAACCAGAAATTAAACAAATAACTATTCCGTGTACAATATTTTACAGGATCTCAAGTCTTAAGTATTTGTATAATATATATATATATATATATATATATATATATATATATATATATATATATATGACTGTAAAAGGGACAGTTCTGAATGGTGGAAAGGGACATGAAAAATGGGAATTTGGCTCGGGGGATGGAGGAAGCAGAAGGGGGATGATGAGAGAGAGAGAGAGAGAGAGAGAGAGAGAGAGAGAGAGAGAGAGAGAGAGAGAGAGAGAGAGAGAGAGAGAGAGAGAAGGAGAGGGAGAGAGAGAGAGAGATAAAGGCGCACTAGCAGAGAGAAAAGTGTGATAAGAGAAAGGTGGTACGGACGCGGAGCCGAGAGGAAGAGCCAGAGAAAGAAGCCAGAGAAGGTAGGGGGAAGAGCAAGATAAAGAAGAAAGAAGCCAGAGAAGAAAGGGGGAAGAGCAAGAGAAATAAACGTGTAAGAAGGGGAGAGGGTAAGAACACTCGCAATATCGGAAAATTGGGAAAGGGGAAAGTTGATTAATGAAGAGGGGAAGAGAGAGAGAAACGAGGGGATACAGATGGACGGGAAAGAGAGAGAGAGAAGAGAAAGAGAGGAGAGAGTAGAAAAGAGAGAGAGAGAGAGAGAGAGAGAGAGAGAGAGAGAGAGAGAGAGAGGAAAAATCGCCAAGTGAAGACAGACCCAGACACACCAAAGGGAGATAAGAAAAGGGAGATGAGGCCAGGGAAATGAGGACAAGACTGAAGATCAGGTGAAGTAAATAATACACTTGTTATATACCTGTGATGGACTACACGAGTTTTTCTACCCTGGCAACCAGGCTTTTCTGTTTGTTAGTTCAAACAGGATCTTGCCAGGCTTTTCTGTTGATTTGCCTGTTCAAACAGGCTGTTGCTAGTAGCGGTCTGCTTGCCCACACAGCCTGAAGTTTTATTTGCTGTTCACCTGGAGATGATTTCGGTGTCAGTAACCCCCCCCCCCCGTCCTCGCGCTCCGGTCCCAGACCAGGCCTTCCGGTTGGTACTGGCTGGACGCGGTTTAACATAGATACCACAGAAAAATATTAGCAGGATTGACTCCAAATCTACACACAGAAATCACTCCCTACAAAAGCAGACGATGCAACATACCTCTAATGATGAGCAGGGTGTCATGAGTACAATAAGAGATGACACTAAGTGTCAGAGGCCCAAAACTGTTCAGCAACATACCAGAGATCACTGTACAGTTACCTGTGATATATAATGATACAGTGTAAGACTCACCATACCAGAGATCACTGTACAGTTACCTGTGATGTATAATGATACAGTGTAAGACTCACCATACCAGAGATCACTGTTTACCTGTGATGTATGATACAGTGTGAGACTCACCATACCAGAGATCATTGTACAGTTACCTGTGATGTATAATGATACAGTGTAAGACACCATACCAGAGATCACTGTTTACCTGTGATGTATGATGATACAGTGTGAGACTCACCATACCAGAGATCACTCATCACAAACTCTTCTCCCACCAGCTTACAACATACCTGAAAAGAAACGAGAAAACACATTAATTACCAACTCAGAGTTGATCAGCTGACACGTTTAGAATTCTTTGTTTACATCACACCAGCTGATCACACAACAACAAGAATTTCTGTAGTTATGTTTTTCAGCTGCAATTAAGAACATTACTTCTTACAATGGTCTTGAGAGCACACAGAGGTTATAGGCACATAAAACATACATTATGTATGTTTATATTTAATATACATTGTTACATAAAATATACATTATGTATATTTACAAGGACCCCAATGGAAATAAGTCACTTTGACTTTTTGGGGGGGTTATACTGGGTAAATTAGGTACAGGTACTTGTGTACCTGTACCTTAAATATAGTTACTAATTTACAAGCATACTTCCAATATAACCTTTCCCTCTCTAGAACACTAGTGTCTGCCTTCAAACGCTCCCGCAACACTAGCACGACAGTTCAACACTCCTCCAACACCAGCGTCTGCCTCCGTAATAAATACCATCGTCCATCACTCCTGCAACACTAGTGTCTCCCTCCAACAATCCTCCATCTCTAGTATCATCTTTCAACACTCCTGCAACACTAGTGTCTCCCTCCAATAATCCTCCATCTCTAGTATCATCTTTCAACACTCCTGCAACACTAGTGTCTCCCTCCAACATCCCCCAACACCAGTATCATCTTTCTCCAACATTCCTGCAACACTAGTATCATTTTTCAACACTCCTGCAACACTAGTGTCTCCCTCCAACAATCCTCCATCTCTAGTATCATCTTTCAACACTCCTTCAACACTAGTGTCTCCCTCCAACAATCCTCCATCTCTAGTATCATCTTTCAACACTCCTGCAACACTAGTGTCTCCCTCCAACAATCCTCCATCTCTAGTATCATCTTTCAACACTCCTTCAACACTAGTGTCTCCCTCCAACAATCCTCCATCTCTAGTATCATCTTTCAACACTCCTGCAACACTAGTGTCTCCCTCCAACATTCCTGCAACACTAGTATCATTTTTCAACACTCCTGCAACACCAGTATCTCCCTCCAACACCCCTTCAAAACACCAGTCCTCCAACGATTCTCCAAATCCACATCAATTATTCCAGCCCACAAAGATAAGGCGGGGGGAAAACAGTAAAGTGAAGGAAGTTAATGGTGACTGAAGTAGTCGCTAACAGCCAACACCAAGTATACAGTAACTACCACTCTTGTATAACTTTTTCTTTAATCCAGAATAAAGACAAAAAAATCATTACGGGCAAAAACAAGGCCGTATTAGACGTGGGTACAAGTAGTTCCTACCTGGAGGGTATTCCGGGGGTCAACGCCCCCGTGGCCCAGTGCTTCACCAGGCCTCCCGGTGAATCAGGGCCTGATGAATCAGGTTGTTACTGATGGCCGCTCATAGTCCAACGTACGAACCACAGCCCGGCTGATCGAATACTAACTTTAGGTATCTGTCCAGCTCCCTCTTGAAGACAGCCAGGTGTCTATTGGTAATTACCCTTATGTCTGGTGGAAGGTTGTTGAACACTCTTGGGCCGCGTGCTCCCATGGCCTGCATACTGCTAGCACCAACAGACTGATTAATGCATCAACCAGGACACCTTTACTTATTATATACCTATAACTGGCTTCCAGTGATTTCTTACAATCCTGGAACAGGATTGTTTGGTGCTTTCCTGGTCAGTCAGGCTGTTACTGCTGGCAGCCATCTGGCCCACATATCCATCACAGCCGGGTCTGGGACCGAACAGCTGGAGTGATGACCCCAGAAATCAGCGGTTGGTACGTTGGTATATACCTTTGAATTCCGAGAGATTTTCTACTCCCAGAGCCCGGCCACGGGCCACGCTCATCTGGTGCTTGCTTGGTCAACCAGGCTGTTGCTGCTAGTAGTCTGCTGACCCATATACATCACAGCCTGGTGGATCTGGCATCTGGTGAAGATACATGTCCAGTTTCCTCTTGATGATGATAGTGTTCTCTTATTGTGCCCACTGCACCCCTGTTTTTTCAGATTATTTTGAACTCCCTCATCTCTCACTCCAATATGTTGCTCTAGTAATGTGCAGATCTGGAACAAGGCGATCAAGTACTTTCCACTTATATATATATATATATATATATATATATATATATATATATATATATATATATATATATATATATATATATTATCATGTATTTTTCTCTTCCTCCTCTCCACTGAGTACATATTTAGGACTTTGAGACGTTCCCAGTAATTTAAATAGTTTGACTCTCTGTGGGCTGTAAACGTTCTCTATATCTGTTCCAGCTCCTATATCTATGCTGTCCTGAAAGGGGTCCTCAACACAGCAATATTTCAGATGAGAAAGCACAAGCGATTTGAAAAGTATCACCACTGGCATGCTATTTCTCTTGTTTTGAAGGTTCTCATTACCCAATGACGCACTGGTATAACAACAATATAACAGTGTGCAATTGATGGGCAGGAGGTATACCCCACTCATAAAACCAACCTCTTTATAAATTACTCACAATGCACACACGCGTATTCAAAATACACCCAAGTGGATAGGCCACTACCTTTTTATAACCCCACCTACCCCCCCCCCCTCCCTCCCCAACCTTTCCTACATTCCATCCTTACCCATCCTTCTTCCTCCCTCCCATCTTACCTCACACCCCGTCATCCTCCTGGCTATCTTGACATTTGTGTTCTTTCAAGCAAAGGTCAGCTGATAAATTTATTTCCAAGTCTTTCACGTATTACTTTCGTTCTATTTGGTGATCCTCTTGAGTTTTGTATACAGTGTTTCTTTTAAGTTCTTCATTCTTGCCATACTTAAGCAGCTGGAGCTTACCACCAATGAACGTCATGTTGTTCTCTACTGCCAACTGCAAAATCCTGCTTAAATCTTCCTACATTGTTTCAGTGTCTTCTACCGTAGTGACATTCATGCTTATTTTAGCGTCATCTGCAAATGATGTTACAAAATTGTGATGTGTGTTTTTATCTACGTGTTGCGACCCCTGAATGGATCACAATGTATATAATGAGTATTACCTTTTCATATAATTTTATATTGCTTATATTTGCGATAATAGCTAAATCGTAAATATATTGCTTTATATTATTATTTGACTTAGTTACTTTTATTAGGTAGGATGTAACATATATATACACATGCTCATAGTTCAAGTCTTGATTGTCTAACTACTGTAATTATCGCTCGTTGCTAGTTTCCCTGCCGGCTTCTCGGTGTTGCTGGGCAGCAACAGTCCACGGAGCAATCACGTGATAGGGGGGGGGGGGTGTTCACACCTCACCTGGAGTAGGCAGTCTGGGCTACTCTCTCTTGGTGGTTGGACGTATTCCTGACAAGACGTGCCTAACTCTCCCTTATTGGCCCTTGTTGGACGATTGTCTCTGTCACTTTCTTGTTGTTGGTTCTGTAGAACTCTGTTCACAGAACATTGTATAGACTTAGTGATTTTCGACGTTGTACTGAGGTTGTGTGTCGCATAGACACACTGAGAAACTCAGGTCCTGAGCTGTAGCTTCTGACCTAACTTGTACTGGTATCTGTGTACTGTCACAGTCGGGGATTTTCTTATGCTGAACTTAGATTCAGTAGTATGGGAGTTTTGTGACTTTTGTGGAGGATCTGCTGATGGTCCCTACTTAGTGTCGTTATATTATCTCCTTGATCCTGATTCTGTGTCGCAGTTGCTTGTTATATTGCTATTGGGCTTAGCAGTCGTTTTATTTGTAGATGAATGGTTCATAGAACCGACATGTTGATAAATTGGACACATGTGCAACTCTTGGGTATCTTTATTGAGGAAACATTTCGCCACACAGTGGCTTCATCAGTCCATACAAAGGAGAATCTTGAAGAACAGGAGGAGAATGAGGTAATCAGTCCCTCAACCTTGAGTCGATGTGGTCAGTCCATCAATCTTGAATAGAATATGGCATACGTGCTGTATTCCATTCAAGAGTTGCACATGTGTCTAATTTATCAACATGTCGGTTCTATGAACCATTCATCTACAAACCTGTCAGACACTGCAACTTCTTGGGATCTTAATACTTGGGAATTCTTCGCTTGCCTAACTCTTGGGCACGACCTACTTCCACATTGAACAAATGTGACACCACCTATGACTGCTGCACCTCTCCTACCAACGGTTTATAAGCTCCTTCTCCGCACGTATGCCGTATTCTATTCAAGATTGATGGACTGACCACATCGACTCAAGGTTGAGGGACTGATTACCTCATTCTCCTCCTGTTCTTCAAGATTCTCCTTTGTATTGACTGATGAAGCCACTGTGTGGCGAAACGTTTCCTCAATAAAGATACCCAAGAGTTGCACATGTGTCTAATTTATCAGTCGTTTTATTGTTCAAGCAAACTATTCTGATTGCCAGGTGGTCAAGAAGTAGTTGATGTGAGGACTTTGTCAGTCACTAGTTTAAGTCTAGTCGAGTCTTGAGAGACAGCGAACTACTTAGAGCACTTACACACAAACTTATTTGTATATTGTATTAAATGTTAATGTACCAGATGGTACTTAAGACGTATAAATGTGATATGTGTCTTCAGCACAATACTACTGTACACGAGAGAAGTGTTTATTGTTATTATTATTTTGATTTTGATTAATTTACTTTGATCTTATACCTCTAGACTGTTATTAATAAATTTATTAAATTTTAATTTCTCTAGTTAGTAGCCTACCAGTTGTAATCCTGAAGCACTAATAATTCTTATTGAATTCTAATGGATAATTGGACCAGGATACTGACTACTTGTTACGAAAACCCAGTAACAGGCTGGATGCTAGAAGGGCAGTCCTTTCTAGTATTCACTTGAGGTCTCTATGCTTATTAGAAATCGCGTTTTTTGTAACAGTCTGTTACGAAGAGGTGCCAGGGCAGTATCCTGGGAACTCATCTTTTTACCTCGCTGGTGCTGGATTTTGATCTGTTTACTACTACTTTTTGTGTTCTATGTGTTAGAAACCTGAAAATCCATCTGCCTACCTTCCCCGTAATGCTTATTGACCTCATTTTGTATGTAATCACCCCATGATCGCATATGTTAAACCCCTTTCCAAAATCAGTGTATATCATATCTGGTTTTCTTCCAACGCCTCCGTAATTATCATAGTGGTCAGCATTTGTGACAGACGTGATCTTCCAGTTGTAAAACCCTGCTGGTTTGGGTTCTGCAGATGCTGTTCCAGGAAATCTGCATTTTGATATCTCATCACCCTCTCGAAGATTTATAACGAAGGATGTTAGCACTACTGGTCTGTAATTTTTGGCTAGCGTTCTATCTACCTTATACAAAGGCGCTATGTCTGCACTTTTTAAGCTCTCTAGTATTTCACCTGGATCTAGGCTCTTCACGGAATACTGAGGGCTCGTGCTAGTGGTACTTTGAACTTGTTTATAAATAAGGAATTCCGTGAATCTGGTTCAGGTACTTAGTAAGATGTTTGACTTCATATCCTTAAACAACAAACTGGAAATGGACACTGGATATTTCAGTCAATGTTGAACTATTATCAGGTTACGACGGAAACGTCGTCTAGGTGCAATACATACGTCGTATAGGTGCGACAGAAATGTCGTATAGGTGCAACGGAAACGTCGTCTGGGTGCAAAAAGTCATGTAGGTATGACAGAAACGTCGTCTGGGTGGAAAAAACGCCATGTAGGTATGACAGAAACGTTGTCTAGGTGCAACAGAAACATCGTGTAGGTGCAACAGAAACGTCTACTTTTCATTTCCAATTTAAGTGTTGTGAATCGTTTTACCCACGGAGTTGATTTCCATTCCTTGATACTTCCTTCCTTCATAGTTATATATTCTTACTAATCCCTGTCTATCCTGCCCATCCGACCCATCCCATCAGCACCACCACCATAATCCCAACACCACCATCCTATCAGCACCATCACTATTCCATCATCACCGCCACCACCATCCCATCAGCACCACCACCATCTAATCACCACCACCACCACCACCATCATCATCCCATCAGCACCACCACCACCACCATCCCATCAGCACCACCATGACCGTCATCCAACACCACCACCACCTCAACACCACCATCCCAACAGCACCACCACCACCGCCGCTCCACGCCCACGCCCACAACTAAGAGGGGTGGGCGTCACAAGTGAGGGCCGCCAGCGGCATCAGTGCCAGGGTGGCTCTCTGGTGGCACCGCTCATGACGTCACAAGCGGCACTGCCACCCAAACCCCAGCACCGTCGCGGAAACTATCGGGGGGGGGAGGGGGAGAGGGGAGAACAGCGTGAGTAGTCGAGGGGAAAGGGAGAGTGGAGGAAGGGTGAGGGGGGGGAAAAGAGGGATGAGAGGATAGTGTGGGAGTTGAAGAGAGG